ACGCCTTGTGCTCCTACACTTTCTGTAAACTATTGACGGTATGGGCAAAAGGCATTTTTTTGAGAACGTGTGGCGTGTCAAAAAGTACCACTTATCGCATTCTTCAGCATCAAAACCGCAGTGGATTGTGAATGACACTCGACGGCATATGACAAATCCAATCATCACTGACGTGTCTCAGTAGGTGGCCGTCGATGTACACCTGCCCTGCGAACTCGACCGTGCTGGTGGTACGGCCCACTGAATAATGGAGTCTGACAGGAGTGCGAAGCTTTTTTTTTGAATTTGATCATCTACTGTGAAAGTAGGTGCTTTGGATTCAAACAAAAAAGAAATCGTGGAACGAAGCGTAAAGACCTGAAAGAGGAGGAAGAAGACTGCTGGAGAGCGAAGGAGGGGGAGTCAAGAAGGAGGATTCATTGTTCCACGAAAAAAAAATTACTTTATGCCAATGAGAGAAAATTTAAAAGCTCGGATATTTTAGTTTCGGCGGCTCCGCTGCTACCGATTGTGACCTTGTAGTAAGGTCTGAATTAGAATTTCTTGCCTCTTTCAAGAAAGCGAGAGAAATCAAACAAAAAGAGCACTGCTCACAAGAGTAATTGTCAATTTACCTTTAAACTGCTGAGGCATTTTCTCAACGTTTTCAAGCTTAGCAATACGAAACGAATAGATTACTGTAATTCGTATAGCATGAAGATTCAACTGTTCCTGTAACAGAGAATTTCTCAGGAAAGAGGAGATTGAGTACAATCGTCTTCGCCGTAAATACTCCAGAAGTTCGAACATACGTGTCAAATGTCATAGTGAATACTTAAAAAAATTATAGAAGAGGAAATAAGTACTACATGAAGCTGAACGATTCAAATTGATAAACGCTCGATAAAAGATAAATAGTTTTGAAAAAAGTCCTCTTATTTACTGAAAAAGTTCCATCGTTGCTGCAAAATTTTTTGCTAGATGTCTGGAAGCAGTTTTTCACGGATTTGTATTCATGCAACTGTTGTAGTGGCGACTTAGACATTCAAGCAGAAAGAAAAAAGTCCTCGTTTTCTTGAAAGCCAATTGATAAGATCGATTGTTTCCAAGTAATTTTTTTAGCTGAATAAACTTTGTTACAAAGTGCGTGCAAACTTAGAAGTTTTAAAGATTTATTAGCTATTTGCGTCAACATTAAGCAATCATTGGTCTTCAAAATATGCGTAAAGCCTTTTAAACTTTTTATAAGCACTTTCAAACGATTCTAACACACAAGTTGTTCGTCAAAAATCTGCATTACTGACCATATTCTAAACTGCACTTGATCTCGGTATAAAGGAATTTTGCCTCTGAAACTTGAGCAGTTGAAGATCTCTTTTGATCCAAAACTTCTTTGTCTAAGCGCCATCGACATCCTGGATGTTATATGTTGATATTTGAGGCCACAAAAAAGTTCGTACAATTCGGGCGATTTTATCGCAAGGAGGCCCTTCACATATAAGAATTTTTTGGTGCACTAGAAAACGAGGAATCGCAATGGAAGTGTTACTGCTGCGTGACGAAAACGATTGGTGTAACGTAATGAAGAGGAATCAGAACAGGAAAACTCTGTGAGATGTGCTGGCAACAACGACCACCATCATAGTCACATATGTGATGTAATGGTTGAACATGTTTAACAATCTGAAAAACGCTTTGGACCGCCCACATTAATGTCTAAGAGACGTATGCTAAAGCTCATAGCTCGAAACCTCGAAACTGCTAAGCTTATTGGAAGAATCTAAGCCTCTTTACTTTATCCCTTAAGCAAACAAAAAGCAAGGTGCTCGTCTGTATCTAAAAAATAGAAAATGTGCTTGATTACGGTCTTTTGTCAAGGTGCTTTCTGGTTATAAGGGGACAAATGAAAAACCGATCTCATTGGCTGGAGAGAAACTTTTCATAGGAGTGTTACTAACCACTCGAAAGCTGAGACATGAGGCTACTGCTTCACTTTGCCGGTTTTCAAAACACCCTTTTATAATAACGTAGCATCTAAAAAAGAATATGCTTCATACTCGCCTTGCCTCTTGATTTCTATAAGCGCATATTTCGCTAGAAGCACGAAAAGCACATCAACGTGTAGAGAATTTTTTGCAGTATGAGAATCATGTGTTTCCATCTAGATTTCTGTCGATGCGATGAAAAAAATTTCCAATAATAACGATATTTCAAACGCGGCAGAGCGCCTCGCCCTAGCCCCGTTTCCTCTTCATGATTCAGACGGTAAGCAAGGTCGTTGAAAATGTAAAACTTGCTTGATTTTGCTCGCTAAATAAATTTTTCATAATTTTTTCAGTATTTCCAGAAAATAAGCTCAAGTGGAATTAGTGAAACCTACGATATCGAATGATTACTAATAGTCTGGAGAAAAGCTGTGTCCGGCGAGATTTCAAAAGTAATCTTTCTTTTTTCTCCTATTGTTTTTGAGCTCTCAAAACTTGTGCTACCGAATGAGTACTAGCGCCTTAAGGAAGGACATTTGTTTAGAGAAATATTAGCGAGATAAGGAAAAAAAACACGTGGTTTTGTGAAACATAATTCTACAGCTTCATGCAAGGGTGTTTTGAAAAACCGACCATGTGAGCTCTAGCCAGAAATCTAAGCTTTCGTATATCTACTGATGCTCCAAGAAAAGTTTCTTTCTAGCGAATGGGCTCGGTTTTTCATTGGTTCCTTAACAATCAGAAAGAACCTTTGGAAGATTTGAGCTCATCAGAGCCTTTTGGTCTCGATATTCCATAATGAAGCGCATTCGCTAAAATATTGTTATGAAGAATCTCTATATGACATTACTGCCGCGAGTAAAAGGGAAATTCTTCCAAAGTTGACTTTTCTCCCAACTTTCCAAAAACTTCCACTGCATTATTTGCATTTTTTCGTACAACGGAGAGTCCTTCAATGATGTACAGCGATGGCGCGTTGCCCGGGAAAGGTCTAGTCGTGGATTGAGTCCATTATACAAATATCATGTTCCAATTTGCTCGTATATCAGCATTTTATATCTATAATCTACATCGTACTATGTCGTTCAAAGCCAATTTGTAGTTAGCATTGTCTTCATATATTATTGAAAAATTCTTTTTGGGAGAAATACACCTATTTTGTCACAAAATTTCCTACGAGTATATCGGAGTTGATCACCTTATAGAGAAAGCGTGTTGAAGAGAGTTGAAAAGGCCGACTACTGAGACAAAGGAGAAGCCTCGAGATTTTTTGACGTGAATAATCAATGAAGAGAGCTGTTCAATAGAGTGAAAAAAAATTTCTTAGGAAAATGTCTGTTTTTTGGTTGGAAAGTAGCACCACGAACTTGGTCTTCTGCTTAACTAATGAGGCCAACTGGTGAGCGTAGCCCAAATCAGAGTCTTTGGCAACAGAGTAGCGTGGGAAACGAATAAGTAGATTCGTTTTTCCAAACAGAAGCACACGTTGAAATACCGGATTGATAGCATTGACTCACGCATACAAACTCCATAGTCCTAATTGGTTTTTAGTGAAAACTTGTAACTCGTCAAGGGTTTCCACAGATTAATAGCACCTACCATCACTAAAAATTAGATTAGGGATAAAATCAGGACGCGTATGCTTATTACAATTTAATTAATCCACATCAATAATATATCTTTGCCTCTTTTGTTTAATCGACCTCAACATTGATGCCTAGGACAAGTGCTAGAGTCTAACCACAAATGAACTAAAAAGCTCAGATTATCTCCTTTGGTATTTGTCAAATCTAATCAGCTTTCTCATATTCTTTGCAGAACCCAACAAGTGGCTAAATTATGAAATGTTGTGAAATGAGCAAGTCGTTCGGATGTTCGCCAGAGAAATATATACTCATGAGATGAAGAAGCTTTGACACAGTGGTCAAGCACAAGAATTGTTTACCTAACCGGTTCTATAGCCGCGATGTGTTGTTACAACCATATTCCAACAATGTTAAGTGAAATGCAGCACTTTAAACTTCGCTCAAAAAGAGTGATAGCAGAACAAGAGCCTCGGTATCGCAATAATTATCAAGCGAGCCCCGGAAGCGGTAATACGCGGGTTCAGCTCCCGCCCGAGGTCCAAAGTTTTGCAAATCATTAGATGTTATTGGCCATAGACAGTCATGAAATTGAATTAGTAAGATATATGGGCTTGATGGCACCACTCTCACCTGCTACGAACTCGTTTGAGCGTGCTGGAGCTTTCAGCAAAAGAAGCTAATTAGCTGCTTCGAAGTAATTCGTCAACTATGCAAATTAGCACCTCTAGTAAAGTTTCTAAGCCAAAATGACCTTTATAGCAGGAGAAGAAATTTCCAAGCTTCTCTGGACAGCACCACAAATTCTATTTGGGCGGTTTTTTTTTTGATGATTTGGGAAGATTTTCTTATCTGCCAATTTTTCGCATGATTTTGAGCTCCTTTAAGAACACTTGCACTTACGGAAATTCGCTTACACTTAATGCGGCTTCGAAACTGTAATATCGAACTTATTCTAATTTCATACTACATTTTTGTGGCCATGATCTCATTGCTGTGGGGCACACTTCAATACTTGGTAACACCCGTTGCTGTAGTGAACACATGAACCATTTAAGAACGTGAAGAGAGATTTCCTGCACTGAAATTTAAGGAAAAATTGTCTTCTATCTACACATCTATCTTTCTGTAACAACGGGTAGCCAACGATTTTTCGCTAAAATCGTCGTTGCTGAACTTTTCCGTTCAAATTTATTCAATTAGGCTAACTACAAGATAAATCTCACTATTTTCGAACAAAATATGCATGAAAGGATATTATATGTGATATGTATAACAGAAAAGCATAATAGCATAATACTATTAGTTTGATACAATAGAAAAATTTAACAGCATGATATACTTCATGCAATATATATATATATATATATATATATATATATAATAAAAAAGTACTGCATTAAAAAGAGATGTTGGAAAAGAGATATTGAAGAATGAGTGGTGGCGCAAATGTGCCTTGGTGGTGCAGTGGTAGAGCACGCGTCCTCGGTATGGATGAAACGCTGGCTCAATTTCCGCCTGAGGCCGTGTTTTTCCTCACCACTCAATTCTCTAAGGCCTTAAATAAGGTCAAGAAAATTGACAGTAGTTCAGCATAAGTGGAATTCAAGAAACAGTAAGATGTAAAACTTGTTATGACACTGATTGCAAAGGAAATTTCATAACTAGATTTATTTGAATTATGTTCATATCTCAAAAATCTAGTCTAAACAAAAATGTTCAATCCCAACAGTGACATAATATGGCGGTTAATTCATCAACAGGACATATAACCTTGAAGTAATATTTTCCCATATCAGAACTCTCTTCAATGTATATCAATGTATGTCTTCAATGATAACGACTTTTGACTGCACAGTGGAACACTCGGACAGTTAAAGAATTTGATGTTCTTTCCCAGCTCTCCAAAATGACTTTACAACTTTGAAATGAATGTTCTTCAGTGGGACACCATTCGTTATAAGCGACAATCAGCAAGTGTTGTTCGATCGAATGGCGCAAACTCATGAGAGTGAGGCGAGGACTCAACAGATTGTAATGCTATGACAAATAGCACTTGCAAAAAATTGACAAGAAAATAAAAAAACTATCTAGTTAAAGCAATATTCGATGGCGCAACGACAGCATTCAAATTTGTTTAAGAAGAGATAGTCCATTGAAGTGTTGTGTTCATTTACACAAATTCCAGCTGCGCTATGAAGGAAAAGGCGTTTGCCCGCAAAGAATTACATTACACGAAAAGTGTAACAAAGAGGATTTTCCCGACAATTTCTTGTTACGATATCTCCAAAATCTCCTCAAAAAGCTCCAAATAGAGCTATTTCAGTGCTGCGTATTTTGAAGAATAGTCAGATTCGCTTGTAGCAAGTAACGTTGCAGAATTCGGTACGTTGGAGGAAACCTGTATGAGTCAATGAAGAGACACACGAGGAGTTATAGTTGCTTGAAAAGAAAGCATACATCACCGAAAAGACTTTTTTGTTTGGACATGGTCTGCTATATTAACCTCAATCGCTTGCTCGGCTAATCTTGAGAATAGCCGCATTCGTGGAAAAATTCTATAAGCAAGACGTCGCAGCTCTCATCTATTAAGATCTGTCTAAGGTGAGAGTTCCAACACTTCTACGCCATGCCTACGGAACACCACGGATGAGTGACGCCCAACACGTAAATAAGCAGAAAAGACGACTGGTCCTCAAGCAATAAGCAGACCCGCAAACGAGCTCGACTACCTTACTAGAGTGGAGGACTGTTTTAAGGCAACGAAACAAGTGGAAAGAATAATGGATTACGTAGTTGATGTGAAGGGGTACTTAAAATCCTTTTTGTTACACAAAGAGTGATAGAATGAAAAGTAAATAAAAAATCCTATAATTACAGAAGTAAAAGTTAGTGCATAAACAGCAGGAAGCTGCTAGAGCTGTATTTCTATCAAATGCAAATTTTATTCTAGAATGGATCGATAGCAACAAAGCATTTCTTTGGACATTTCTGCTTGACATTTTCGCAGACTACGAAAGAAAAACAGTCATTTACACTAGAAATATTGATTTCAGCTCCAATTAGAGTAGCGCACAAAACAGAGGTAAGATTATGTGATATTGGGAAGAATGCATTTCGTAGACGAACATTGAGCGGAAGCAAAGCTCAGTGATCCTTTTGTTGAGATAGGAAAAATAAACCATACGGAAATAGAAAAGGTATGTTCAAAAAACATTTACCAGGATACGTCTAAAAGATTTTGTTGTATGGTGAGAAAAATGTAATTAGCAGGCAAAATTCTAATTAGTTTTTATGAGAGTAATAGGGCATGATTTTTTGTTGAACCGTTTCTGATGGCTACTTTTGGATTTGCCCTCAAAGCTGGAACACATCAAAGCAATAGAACAGACTAACAGATGTCAAAATGGGTACACAAAAGTGGAAAGTTTCAGTTGCTGAGTTGAACATGAGGTCACAAAGTAGAAAAAAAGCATGTTATGATCACGGAGTCTGCACTGAAGAGAAACTATGGATTCAGCGAGTGCTGTCAAGACTATCTCAAGTACAAATGTAATGGGACGCGCTGAAAAACAAACAGCTGCCATTGGCATTACGTCTGAGTGCCTTGAACAGCCAGATGTTTTTTCTTTCACTCTTTGACTAGTATTAACGAATTATGGGTGGAAGATAGTTGAGTAGAAGAGGTGGGTGGACGTCAACCTAGAGCCGAAATTAGAGCAATGACTACTCGCCTCACCATCATCGCTCAGCATCTCATTTGTGAAGAACGCCGAATTATTTATGGACGGAGTAGTGGAGAAGAGCGCAGATGTGCTGGTCGATGAATGTTTCCAAAGCACTGGCAATTCCTTAACGGTCTATAGATCGGAATCATCGCCTCCAAGATCAGATCGAGACCAACCGATCCATAATTTCTTCAATGATTGTAGCGCCCTTCACAGCAAATAAAGTGCCCAAACATTTTTTTTGCAATGTGATGGAGTGATGCGTACTATTCGAATATACATATATATATATGTATATATATATGTATATATATATATATACATGTCTATATTTATATAAATGCGCGTATACATACGTATATACAATGTATATATGCACATATATATGCACATATACATAATATCTATTTACATATATTCATATATATATATATATATATTTGTTGTAAGTGATGTAAAATAAGGAATGTGATATTTAACACGTGCGCGACCCAATTTTCTTAGGAGGCCGTTTGGGACAGCATCCAATTTTCGGTGAGAGCGGGTGTGCATAACATAACCTCAAGAAAAAGGCTTTTTGAAAATTATCAAGGTCAAAGGACTCTTCTCATTGGGAACACTTGGAAAAGCGTCTTCGTATAAAGAGCTATCAACTGAATACAGAACGTTCATCAAAGAATTTCTGGTGCAAAATAAACAGGAGAAAATATCGTGAATTCAACTAGGTGCTTTATTTATATTCATGCTATATTAATTAAAGATTTTTACACTTAGGTGCATATGGTCACCTAAGTGTAAAAATCTTCTGCTGAAATCCGTTCTTGAATTAACATTTCACTAATAAAATACCCGTCTTAGTTAAAGGGGATTTAGGGAGACGAAGGTTTAGATTTTATGCTGTTTCAGAACTGAATCTGATGACAATTTACGATCTGAAGTTGGGTAGAGTTACTGCATTCCTAGGAATGGCACTGAAAACAGCGATCACATGAACACCCAACGCTCCATTTTCTCACCGTTACCTCATTCAAAATCCAGCTGAGTAATAATACTTGGCATATGAACGGTTCAAAGATTTATGTGTTACAATCAGAAGTTTTCGTACGATTTTCGTTCCCTTCATTCTTGCTTTAGTGTGTTTCAGCTAGTAGATCAAGTTTCACAACAGTTTTTGCTAAAGCGCTTTTCGAGCAATAATTTGAGAAGGCGAGCAGCACCGCCCTACAAGAAAAGAAGAGCAAATGAAAATCAACTTTTTTCTGATTCATCAAAACACCTGCTTGGGATGACGTTATGTTTTGTTATTCAACTAATAATAGCTCTTTCAAAGGATTTTTCTGATGAAGAGACCATTCCGATAAGTGCGTGTTGTGATAGACTTGCATTTTACTTTACTTGAAAAAAAGCTGTTGAAATATCTCATGAGATGCTGGTTTTTTCACAAATTATTACACAAATCAATTATATTGAAAATGAGATGCTCAGAAACATATCGTTCCAGAACAAAATTAATTTGATATGACTCTGTGGATCTTCTACAAAGTACAGACAACACACCTGACTACGTGCCCTGTAGCTTTTTCATTGAAATCGGTAAGCATAAATAATCCTTGGTAATGGGAAGTGCCAAGAGCTGGTAGTATTAGAAGAGCTAATATTGTCGGAAGAGCCTCTTTCGATTCGTACGCTCTCGGTTGAAAAAAAGGAATGAATGCCTCTGGACAATGGTGGCATTGAATTACAAGAAATGTGTCATTTTAAAAGCCAAACATATTTCACACATAGTGAATGTAAGACAGAATGTAAGACTGCTGCTTGCTTTACACATATAATTGTGATAAAGCGAAAGTTAGCAGAAGTATGATAGAAGCAAAATGAACATAAAATTATCAGGAAAATTAATGATGACTTTTCGCTTGACTCAAAATAGGTCCTTTACAAAGCATTATCTCTTTCTCTATCTGTTTACACTTATATTGAAATTAAAACCCGATAAAACTAAGCTTTACATTTATGCGTGGTAGACAGAAATGAGGAGAAATTGGGCCACCAAAAAAGAGGATAGCAAGATATGATTTGTTCCTGACGGTTATAGTTAAAGATTTCGCTTAAGTATAGAGAACGGTAGGTTTCAAAAATAGTAAAAGGAATCATAATGATATACTATTAGTAGTTCTCAGAAAATGACAAAGATTTCGATGTTGATCAATTCCTGAAGGATGCACCCATGCACTTTACTTTATCAAGTATTGACAAGCGACACCCTACAGATGGATTAGATCATTGCTGCTACCCACTCAGATGACTGCGGTGTCATATTCCGACATTGGAGAGGTGAAGGTTCCTTGTTGAGTTCAGAAAACGGTATCGAACCAATCAGAACTTATATATTACAGAACGACGCTAACCACTAAGCTACGCAGCCACACGCAAGTGTAGCATAATTGATTAATTAAGAGTTGAAAGACATTATGACTACATTTTTAATGAGATCAGAAGGTGAATTGAGATGAGGATTATGTTGTCTCTACCACGCCAAATCGTTCAGTTCTTTGGCAGATAAGCAGCAACTTTCATGTAAACGTAGGTTCAAGCTGAATTCTGTCCATAATTTCGGTCAAAAAACAGTAATCAAGTTGTCAAGAGGTATGTTTAAGATAGACGGGACTATATTCCAACTTGTAGTCCATATGTGTAATTCAGGTCTATACAACAAACTTCTTCTCTAAGCAGCACTCACAAAAGAACTCGTCGAGTTAATGACAAGTACTTTATACCTAAGACCTCGTAGTGGAATG